GGCAACAGGCATCAGAATATTCTGAGAAAGCAGTAACAAACAAACAAACAAAAATGCCTTGGTGAGAATAGAAGGGGCTTGGAGTGGAGACCCAAAGCCCATCTATGGACAATGGAACATCCCCCCACAGAGGGGTCGCAGGGAGGGGGTGAGTCAATTGGTGCAGTAGAGCACTAATGGGTCAGGCAATGTACCTCTAATCCTTTGAGGCCTCCTCACCCCCTGCTATCATGACCCCAGTGCTGTTTCCCAAACTAGACTGGACGGGAGCATGTACACAGGTATAGGCAAGAGATAAAACTCATGACACGTGGAACCCAGGAACAGGAATGGGAATAGAGAGACGAAAAAGGTAGGGGAAGGGGGAAGAGGTGGGGAGGGAGCGAGAGGGGCACTGATCACAACGAATGGCACATAACCACACACCCCCATCCAGGGGGAAGAACAAAAGTAACCAGAGGGGAAGGGAGACAGCAGTCGGGGTGAGAGATGAAAATAATTAAAATTCTACAATCTATCAAGGGGCCATGAGTGTTGGCGGGGGTATGGGCACGGGGAAGGGGGGAAGGAGGGAGGGAAACAAAGAGGAGCTGTTCCTGAGGGTTCCCTGGGAAATAGTTGTCTAGAAAACCACGGTGGAATATATGTATGACTATGTCAGGTACAATTGATACATGGATTGTAACAAGAGTTGTAAGAACCCCCAATAAAATGATCTAAAAAAAATTCACACCATACCAATTAAGAACTGTAACTACTATAAAGTAGCTTTGAAATTAAGAATTAAAAATTCTTTAGAATCACGACTATCTGTAAGAAGCTTTGGTAAATATACACACACATATGCATATATATATGCATATATCTATCTTGATATTTCTATAATTGTTGAATTCTCATTTTTTTTAGATGTAGGATCCACCCTAGCAAGATTGGTGCTCAGATATCAGATGAAAAGTGCTGTTGAAGAAGGAGCAGCTTCGGGTAGTGATGGGAAATTTCCCGAAGATGTGCTTGATAAATTCGATGAATGGACCTTCGTTCCTGACTCTTCTGTAGACTGTGTGTTTGGTCAAAGTGATGATCTGGATAGTGAAGGTATTATATAAAAAAGTTTATTTTATTTTATACTTTGTTGTATACTGGCATTAAACAATAGAAAGTGAGGCAAAAGCTTGATTTAATTCATTGGTAAAACTTCAAAATGGTTTCCTTATAGAAACAGTTAATGTTTACTAGTTCCAATCAAGGCACTTAGTACTTTTTAAATGTGTGCCTGCAGTGTTGCAATGCTGCCCATTAATCCGCGAGTGCTGGCTATTATAGTGAAAATAAATTGCAGTGAAAACTGACTCCGACTGGAATTGGATTTTAAATTCCAGTATTGATTGCATTCTTTTGTTGCCCTGGAAGCATCTTTACCTTATTAAAGGCAGCATTTCCAAACGAGAAGGGTCATTTGTAAGCATTAGTGGTAATAGATAAAAGTGTTTAGAACATTACCCAAACCAAACTCCCCACCATAGAGTTCATTCCAACTGACAGTGACCCTGGAGGACAGAGTAGGACCGCCCCACTGTGCGTTTCAGAGAATGTAACTCTTTCACGCACTTACTTGGTGCTCTTGAGTAGAATGGCTCTACACAGAGAAGGCTGGTGGTTTTGAACTTTGGACATTGTGGTTAGCCTCCCAATATGTAATCATTATAGCACCAAAGCCTTGTCTTTCTTTGTGGAGAAGCTGTAGTGTTTGAAGGGAGACCTCGTGGTTGCAATCCAACTTGTAACCCACTGATTTTTATCCTTTTATGTTTTATATTAACATTTAAGGCTACCCATGTACTTTTAAGCATGTCATGGCAGGCAGAAATTGTCTGTATAAAGTGTCCAGATTCATATAGACTATTTTAAAGTTGATATTGGGATATATAGGTTTTCTAATTTTTTTTGATGTTTAAAATTGATTCTTTTCCTTCAAATCTAAATTTTTAGTTTCAAATCTTATAAATAATTTTAAAGTAAATCATTTATATTATTAATCCTTAATATAATTTATCTATTGATCCTATTTTCTTGTAAATCCATAAGTTTAAAATTAGTTTTCTTCCAATTTCTCTTAAAATAATTATTACCAAGAAAAATTGTGTTTAATTTACTGTTAAACCATAAATTAAACTATAAATCTAGAATTCAAATTGAGATATACTGTATGCTAAATAATTTTAAATTATTCCATAATTTAAAGAGTTTAAAACTTTAGGAAAAATGCAGAGAAACACAAGAGCATATGTTGATAAGATTAGTATATAAGCGTTCTTTGCTTCTTGTGCGTACATGTGTAAATCGATTTATTTGGCTTTTTCCTCTGGACGCTGAGCTTCTATGAGGAAACCCTCCTCCCTACCACCCCCGCTTTTCTTTATCCAACATTCACTCAGTGTCTAGTCTAAGACAGACATTCCATAAATATTTATAGATGAAGAAAAATGTAGTTGAATTTTGAAAAGAGCAAGCCAGCATAGTTTATCATTTTGATTTTAAAGATAGTACAAAGAAGATTGACTACATAATTTCCACTAATGAAAATATGTTTAATCTTTCATGACTGAACTATGATACTAGCATATTATGATCTAGTCAGCTTTATTACTGTTCTTTATGTTCATTTTTATCATTTGCAAATAGGCAGTGAAGGCTCATTTCTTATGAAAAAGAAATCCAATTCCATTAGTGTGGGAGAATTTTACCGAGATCCTGTCTTGCAGCGTTGCTCACCAAATTTGCAAAGGCATTCCAATTCATTGGTAAGTTAGATTATGAATGAGGGTATATGTCTGTTTTGCTGGCATCTTTTTTTTGATAACTAAAATTATTTTTTTGCTAACAACAAAGCTAGAAACTGTTGGTACAGAAACTTTATGATGCATGAAAACTTGACATACATAATTAGAAAAGAAATTAGACTTAATCCTTATCTTTAGCTGGGTTCTCTAGAGAAGAAAATCAGTGGCACTTATATACACAGATACATAAATAGGCAGATAGAAGAGAGATGAATCTATATCCAGAAAATGTGTCTATCTATATAAGATAGGCAGGATAAATAAGCCCAAAGAGACATCAAGGGACTGATGTTTCCAGTGGGGTGAGGAGAGAAGTGGAGGCAGGAGAAAGGGAGCAGGAGGCCATCAAACTCAGGGACAAGGGAAAACAAGCAATCTAAAATGGATGGGGAAGGAGGCTGTCGAATGCCTGGTGGAGTTTGATCAATGTCACGTGACTGAGAGGAATCACTGAGACTCAAATGAAGGGTGAACATGATAGTGGGGTGAACATGATAGATAGGAAAATAAAAGGAAATAGAGGAAAAAGATAGGAGGCAAAAGCTAGATAGAGAGGTATAAATATAAGCTTGTATATATATAAATATAAGTTTGTACATATATAAATATATTAATATAAAAGGGTAGGGGTATTGATCTATGTGCTTATATTCATATGTTAAAGTATTAATGTAGCAGATGGACTTTAGGCCTCTACTTAAGTCTTCCCTCAACACAAGAACACTTTGGTCTAATAACCTGGCACTGTGTGATACTAACGTGACAATATTTCTGAAGACAAAATCGGGACATAAGCAAACGTGGTGAAGAAAGCTGATGGTGCCAGGTTATTCAAAGATATAGCACCTGAGGTCTTAAAGGCTTGAGGTTAAACAAGTGGCTATCCAGCAGCGAAGCAACAAAGCCCACATGGAAGAAGCACACTAGCCTGTGTGATCACGAAGTGTGGATAGGATGAGGTATCAGAAGATGAAAAACAAACAATTATATCATTGTGAAGAAGAGGGGTCGGAGTGGAGACCCAAAGCCCGTCTGTAGACAATTGGACATCCCCTCACAGAAGGGTCTGTCACATGGAAGGGACAATCCAGCCAGGGTGCAGTTTAGTACTGACGGAACACACAACATTCCCCTGGTTCTTTAATGCTTCCCCACACACCCCTGCCCCGCACTATTATGACCCAGCTCTACCTCACAAATCCTGCTGGACTGGAGTATGTATATTAGTAGACATAAGAGCTTTTGATACACGGAATCCAAGGAAAATAAACCCCTCAGAAACAGTAATGGGAATAGGTCCCCATCTTTACATATGCCAATTCTAATTTTAATATGAATGCTGTAAAAAAAATAATTTGATTTTTAAGAGAATTTATGTATATACATATATATTTTTAAAATAGACTTTTCTGCTTTTCAGTCTTTATATTTAAAGAAGAGTAGATGTTTTCTTTCTAAGATAATTTCATGTACCATGGATTATTTGATTATATCTTCTTGATTATACTCATCATTGTATCCACTGATTATTTTCAATTAAAAATAGCATTTTCCCAATAAAGCTTTTTAAGTGTGTTCATATAAAATGGTCTTTCCTGCTTCAAAATAATGACAGTGATTTTAATCATACATCTTTACCTAATAGGGACCTATTTTTGATCAAGAAGATTTACTGAAACGAAGAAGAAAAATATTGTCTTCAGATGATTCACTCTGTAAGTATGTGGAAGTAATTATAAGTATATAGGTATTTTAGAAAGGATATAGTGCTTTGTTAAGTTTTCTTGGTTTAAATTTTCTTAGTATTATTTCAATCTTATAAAACCTTCATTTGGCATTGACTAGTATCTTCCACAGACTTTAGAAGAATGAAATGCTCTTATAGGTTTAAAATTTTACCTTTCTAAGTATTAAAATGGACACTTTTATCCTTTCCATGATTTTTATGAAGCATAAATTATATACATATAGTCACCAATTCTACTATGTATTCCCTTCTTCAGGGCTAATTTTTATTCCACGCATGCTACCTGATAGATGTAGCAGTTATAGTTTGTCTATGTGTGCCACAAGAGTAGAAACATCACCACTTGATTTTCAACTTAATTTTCAGTGCTGAGGAGAGCGTGACACTAGTAGATATTGAGCAAACACTAAGTTAATGTATTTGCTTATATTTCCATTGTTTCTCTGTTTTCAAAAAGGGTCATCAAAACTTCCATCCCATATGAGGAATTCAGACAGCATTGCTTCTCTCACTTGTGAAAGAGAATATATTACGTCATTAGACCTTTCAGCCAATGATTTAAGAGATGTTGACGCCCTAAGTCAGAAATGCGGCATAAGTGGTCATTTGGAGCATCTTGAAAAACTGGAGCTTCACCAGAATGTTCTCTCCAGCTTTCCACAGCAGCTGTGTGAAGTAATTTCTCTTATACTTATACTTCTCAGGGTTGTTGAAGAGCCTTTATATTTTTATCTAATTTACCCTGGTTACATCTATTTTAAAAAGGAAGGTTCTGCTTTGAGTCAATGGAAAATAATGCTTCCATTTCCTAGAATTTCCACATCTCCCTTAGTCTGTATGGGGTTCAAGGAGTTTTCTTGAAGGAAAGTAAAGGAAAGGGCAGGAGTCATGGCTGACACAATCAGTTAAGTCCTTGGCCACTGGCTGAACGCTTGGTAGTTTGCACCCACCCACCCACCCAGAGGTGCCTCAGGACACAGGCCTGCTTCTAAAAGGTCTCACAGCCTTGAAACCCTATGGAGCTAGTCTGCCTGCACATCTTGGGATGTCATGAACTCACAGAAAATGTACAACAAAAACAACAACAATGGAAATATAGAGCTGATGCTACAGGGTCCATGGTAAAGTAGATCAACTCTACATGTTGAATATGCTTTTGATTATTTAGTTCAAGTCAAACAACTTACTAACATGTTACCAAGTGTACAAATCAATTAGATAAACTGGAATTAGACAGAGTTTTATAGACTGCTACCGACTGTGTGTGTGTCAGTAATTAGAAACCTCCTCATTCTGTTTACCTTCTTCTCCTCGATGCCTGTCTAGACCAGCCGTTCTGGGTTGCGACCCCTTTGGGGGTAGAACAACCCTTTCACAGGGGTCACCCAATTCATAACAGTAGCAAAATTACACTTATGAAGCAGAAGCGAAAATAATTTCATGGTTGGGGGCCACCAGAACATGAGGAACTGTATTAAAGGGTCGTGACATTAGGAAGGTTGAGAACCACTGGTCTAGACTAAGTTGGATATGCATCTCAGGTCTGCATTAGAACCCAATGCTTACCACCTATAGCTCATTCACAGTTTTATTTAATATATATTGCCCTCACTAAAATCAGAAGGAAAAAATATGTTGTGGCAGAAGCGCAGCAAAAATAGTCCATAGAAATGCGGATGGCGAGACTTCATCTGATAGACTTTAGACATATTAGCAGGAGGCACTAAATGCTGGAAAAGGATATCATGCTTGATTTGCCCAAAGTGAGGAAGACCCTCCCTGAGCTCGGTTTACAAGAACAGATCCACACACAGCCATGGCAAGGATGTGAGGATGGTGCCAGACCAGACAGTGCTTCATTTTGTTGTCCACTGCATCACTATGAGTTAGAACTGATGCCATAGCTGGTCGGTTCACACCACTGACCTTTCATTAGAATTGATGAAAGGTAAGCTTTTGACTTATAGTCCCATAGCCATCAAGGTGATTAAGACTCACTCTGACCCACTGAGCTGTGTAGAACTGCCCAACAGGGTTTTAAGGCTGTAAGTCTTTATGGCAGCAGATGGCCATTCTTTCTTCCACTGCGTAGCTGGTGGATTTGAACTGCCAACTTGTCAGTTAGCAATCAAACTCTTTAACCACCGTACCATTGGGGCTCCTTAGATACATAGTAGGAACTAGATCTCATTAATTAACTCATGCATGACTGATACTTGGTAGGCTTTTAGTAAGTGTTTTTAAACAATATTTTATTTTTAGGTCATGTTTTCAATACAAATATATTAAATAAAAAGGGGAAAGAAAGCTTAGATTTAGCTAGGTCACTATGAAGAGAATCTGAAGGTGACATATTAGGTCATTCGATGTGTGCACCAGCTACGTTGCTTAGAACCTTTCCTTGCGGAAATTTCAAGATGTCAACACTAGAAGGAACATCTAACCCTATCACGCCGAGCATGACGTTTTCGTAACATTTAATTCAATGTATATATTAATATATATATTGATAACTATGAAAGTAAAGAATAAAAACGAAAATTTTTTCCCTAAAATTAAAAATTCAGGCTTTATAGGGCTAAGGGGTCGCATTTGTGTGTCTCTTTTTTTTCCCCCCCAAAATATATTTCCAAATTAAAATTTGGGAATGGTGTGGTTGCTAGGTGCTGTCGCGTCAGTTGCAGCTCCTAGTGACCCTGTCTGTGTACAACAGACGAACACACTGCAGGCCCTGTGCCCTTCTCACAAGCATTGTGCAGTTGGAGTCCATTCTTGTAGCTATTGTGTCAATCCATTTCAGGCGGGGTTTGCCTCGTTTTCATCGACCCTCACTTTACCTAGCATGATGTCTTTTATCCATGTTCCTCCTTGATAAGGAGCCCTGATGGCACAGGAGAAAGGTGAGGTTCTCTACTCCCCTATAGAGTTAAAGTCTTGGAAACCAACAGGGACAATTCTATCCTGCCCTGTAGGATTGCTATGTATGAATCAGAATCAACTCGATGGCAATGAGTTTGGACTCTGGGTTGTTGTTTTTTTAGTGTCTCCTGATAATATGTACAAAGTACATGAGACGAAATCTTGCCATTGTTGTTTCTAAGTAGCCTTCTGACTCATCGACTTCCAAAATAGATTTGTTTGTCCTGCATGATGTCCACAGTTCTTTCAATATTCCCTGCCAACATCATAATTAAAAGCACATGCATTTTTTTCTTCAGTTTAAATAATTTAAAAATCTCCTGTCCCGAGTAAATGGATAGCGTCTAAAATTAAAGTAAGAATTTTGAAAACATAATGATTGAACTTGAAGGAAAAGCCATCCATAGACTTCTAAATGGCATCAAATTTTTAGAATTCTTTGAGAGAATAAGTATGTTGACATATAAAGAGTAGAGAGATATGAATATTTTGGGTATTGTGAATGCTAAATTTTTTACATTGCTATAATATGTAAATAGAAGGCTTCCATTGTCATTGTAAAGATCAACCCAAAAACCCACTGCCACTGAGCGAATTCCGACTCATAGCCACCTTATATAATTCTCCAGAAATCTTAAGTATTTATAGAGCAGATAGCTTCATCTTTTGATCATGGAGCAGCTGGTAGGTTTGAACTGCCCACCTTGTGGTTAGTGGTCCAGTGTTAACCTACAGTGCCACCAGGGTACTTTCTAGGAATAGCTTAAACATAGAAAATAGAAATTTGAACCAAAAAATTTTATTAAGACTGTTTAAAGGGAGGAGGTGAGAAAATGAAACATTTTCATATATTATGACTACTTTCATGGTAAAATCTCACTTGTATTAAAATACATTTGGTTTTAAAACCTAATATTAAAAGAAGTGCTCTCAAGAGTCTATTATATCGCACGTCATTAAATCATTAATGGGAATTTTTATTAAGGCTTATTCTGCTTCCATATTATACTCTTTGCATAAATGATTTGATATCTTAGAAAACAGGGTAAACTCTACTTCTTATTTTTCCAACATTTATATTATGACAGAGATCATTGGGTTAGTCCCTATATTGAAGTTTTATTGTAGATTCTGTGTATTCTTTCTAAAAGATTCTATTTACTTAAGGTGTAGAAGACAGGAATATTACACAAACTTTGTTTCACGAATGATTCATTTTAGATTTAAAATATTGTCTTTTCAGACTCTGAAATGTGTAACACATCTGGACTTGCATAGTAATAAATTTACATCATTTCCTTCTTACTTGTTGAAAATGAAATGCATTATCAACCTTGATGTCTCTCGAAATGACATTGGCCCTTCAATAGTTTTGGATCCTGCAGTGAGGTGTCCAACGCTGAAACAGCTTAACCTGTCCTATAATCAGCTGTCTTCTGTCCCTGAGCACCTCGCTGCGGTGGCAGAGAAGCTGGAGCAGCTCACTTTAGAAGGGTAAGAGAGGAAATCTTGGATAGACAAACCCTCAGGGCCAACAAGGCGAGTGGAGCTACCAGGAGGATTGGGGAGGGTGGGAGGAGAAAGGGGTAATCGATCACAAGGATCAATTATAACCCCCTCCCAGGGGGACGAACAACAGAAAAGTGAATGGAGGACAATGTAAGATATGAACATAATAATCTATAACTTATCAAGGGTTTGTGAGGGAGGGCGGGTGGGGGAGGGTGGGGGTAGAAATGGGGCGCTGCTATCAGGGGCTCCAGTGGGAAAAGAATGCTTTGAAATTGATGATGGCGGCTTATATGCAAATATGCTTGACACACTGGATGAATGTATGGGTTGTGATGAGCGATGTAAAAGTGCCCAATAAAAGTATTTAATAATAATAAAAAATGACCAAAGGGTTTTTTGACATTTCATAAAGTTGATGAAATGTGCTGACATTATTTTTGTGGCAATGAATTTTAAACAACAATATGATAGAAGACTGTGTCAGTTGATATTACAGCTTCTATCTTATTGTCTTATATTTTCATTACTAATCTTCAATTGAATAAATCTGCTTTGAGATTAGTTTTCAGTAAATTGTTTTGGTTGTTTCTTAAAACCATATCAGTATGAAATTTAATTCTATTTTTTTCTTTATGACTAGAAATAAAATATCAGGAATATGTTCCCCCTTGGGCCTGAAGGAACTGAAGATCTTAAATCTTAGTAAAAACAACATCTCATCCCTGTCAGAGAGCTTTCTCGAGGCCTGTCCTAAAATGGAGCGCTTCAGTGCCAGAATGAACCTTCTTGGTAAGTCTTGTCTCCCATGAATCTCCTCCTTTCGAAGAATTATAGGAGGAATCATATATGTCGATGTTACCTAATGTCAACTATAATATTATGATGGAACCGCAAATAAACGGTGACTAGGTTGTTAGGGGAGGCTACCATGGCAACACCTTGTCCTATTGATGTTTCCATCTCCTGAAAATGCAGGTGGCTATCTATGCTGAGGTCAACCTTCCTTATACTACAACACTGAGTTTCATACTGAAGTTCTTAGAGATTGGATTGCAAGTGTGATTTTCATTAGTATTGTTTGCTTGTTGTTGTTTTCACAAAGCCAGTCGGTCATTTTCAGATTACGAAATTTAAGTATATTTGTAAAAATAATGTATTTTACAAGTGAGCCAGCACAAGGCTATGAGACTAATGGTAAGAATGGTGTTGGGGGGTATCTGACCTCCACTGTCTTCACAAGGGGTGAAGAGAATCAAGCTCAACCTTAGCCAAGACTTACTCCTATGAGGCAGATGCCAGACTTTCCTTCACCCTTCTTTACCTGTTCTGATGCCAGCCTCCTTTCCTATGACGCTGTACTCCTCTGGTGGTTTCATAATTTATTGCATCGACAACACAGAACTAACAGATAATTCTCATGATTGCAGGATTTATTAAGGAAGGTAGCAGGTTATAATGCAGGATTGGAAATGCTTAGGATACAGCTTGATTTTCCAGAAATGAATAAAAGCCATGCTAAATTATGTAGTATTTTCCTCCTCCTTTTCTGTCTCTCTTTTCCTCTCAAATCTAGAGTATAATCATAATAATTATTTTTTAACCTATGTTTTTT